GAAATCTAGTCATTTCAAGGGTGATGCCTAGTCCTGTTTCTGTCTGTCAGTTTTCTGTCACTTTATATTTGTACTTTCCTATTTCTTATGTGCACTTTCTTATTTCAACAAAATAAGACTCCCCTCCCCCCCAGGTAAAACACTTCATGTAAAGCAGAAAATCACTAAACAAACCATGGTAGAGAGGCTTCAGTTAAACCAGTGACTGTGAACATGTTTTCAAATTGGTCTAAACAAATCAGTCTCTTTCAGGCCATGTCATTTTAGACATTAATTCTAATAGCAGGTATATCTCCTAACACACATGCATTTTGAATTGACTGTCCCTTGAAACTGCAGCCTGTGAAAATTAGGTAAAATATCTGGAAAACTATTACAACACTCAGAGCATTCCAGACAATGGAACAAGCTGCCTGGGGAGATGGTTAATTAATTACTAATTAATTTAATCCTGTCATAATACTGGGGGATGGACTAGCTGACCTACTTAAAGGTCCCTGCTAACCCAAAGAAATCCATTATTCCAAACATAACTTTTGGCGTAATGAGGTTATTTTCTTGTTTTACTGCTGTGCCATTTCTTAGATGATTATCTGTGCATACTGGGGGGCATTAAAATTCATCCAGATGATCAATTCCATTTAATAATCAGCTGTTTCAGATACCGGGGAGTTGCTGGGCCTGGAAGCACCCCCACTTCTGGAGTAAGAAAGGTTTCAGAATTTCTTCTGCAGAACTTGTTAACTGTCCAGCAGAGAGCTAAAGAATATAAAAGCTCTTCTGGCCCTCTCAAGCTACAGGTGTCACCTTTGCAGGTTTAGGTTTAAGTCTTTAAGGACTCCAGAACACCTTATGGTCTGTGTTACAAACCAGTCACCTTCTGTATTGTCACAGTTCTGATACAAGTGGACACAGCAGCTGAGTGTCTGCAAGTCCCCTCAGTCCATTGCTCAAGGGTGCATTTCAGGGAACTGGTCTCTTACTGGGCCTTTCTATGGATCTCTGAAGTCCAGTACCCTAATACCCAACATCAGTAGCTCAGACATCGTATAGTAACGTGAGTGTCACTGCCTAATCAAGGGAAGCAATTCTTTTACTGTATTCAGCACTGGTGAGACCTCACCTGGAGAACTATGTCCAGTTTTGGGCCCTGCACTTCAAGAAGGATGTGGACAGTTTGTAAATCCAGTGCAGGGTAACAAAAGTGATCAGGGGCTTGGGAAACAAGATTTATGAGGAAAGGCTAAAAGACTTAGGGTTATTTAGCCAGGAGAAGAGAAGACGGAGAGGGACTTTAATAACAGTCTTTAAATCCCTAAAGGAGGATTATAGAGAAGATGGAGGTTTTTTCTGTGGCTGAAGGGGGCAGGACTAGGAGCAATTGTCTCAAGCTGCAGCAAGGAAAATTTAAGATGGAGTTTAGGAGGACTTTCTGATGATGCGGGTGGTCAGGCTAGCTAGAGAAGTTGTGGAATCTCCATTCTTGGAAACTTTCAAAAGCAGGTTAGACAGACAGACACTTGGCTGGGATGGTTTAGTCAAGGATGATCCTGCCTTGAGCAGGGGGCTGGACTACATGACCAGTAGGTCCCTTCCAGACCTACTTTCCTATGATCCCATGAACCTCCTGACCTCTGGTAGCTTACACATGATCTTCAACAACTGAAGCAAGCTCTGGGTACTCTGGCTTCCAATTCAACCTCTCTAGTGACATAATGGGACAGGAAAACAAGGAGCACAGGCTTTGTGAAGAAATTGCCCTTAAAGTACTAGACAATTACAAACACTTGCAAAATAACAAACGTCCTGCTCAAGTATGGCCCTTCTCCAAGTATGATCATATTCCTTGGGTAACCAAATATATTAATCATTTCAGTCTAGAGAAAGTCCTACCCTTCCTCTCTCTTTAGCCCAGTCTTTTTCCATGTGTCAATGGATACTACCTATCCCCAGAGAATCACTCCTTCACTTCTTCTTAGATATACTCTTTTCCCTTTGGCCAGGTGGCAAAGCTGAGAAACTCCAGGCTCTTCCCTCCCCTACCCCCACATCCTGTCTCACCTCTGTCAGGTTTCACACAGACACAGTCAGTGTGGGCCTTGGGTCTAGGATTCATTGTTCCATATGGAGAGACCAGTAGTAAGACAGGCACACTGGTGACTTTAGATTGCTCTGTGATAACTTCTCAGTTCCTGTCATTCACCTGTGACAAGAATCTTTCCTGGCCAGGGACTTACCAGAACGTATTCTAATAACCTTGCCATGGGCAAAGCTAGACATATGTTCAGACTCAAACAACATGGACAGCCTGATCCAAAACAGAGGTTACCATAGAAAATTAAATCAACTTACTGAGCCAGATGTATCCCACTGTCACAGGATTAAGTCAAAGCTCTAGGTATAGAGTTGATCAAACAGCATAGGTGGGTTGTAGCATTTTCAAAAATATGAAAAGAGAGTCAGTTAAAAAGCGGGTGCTGGTAAATGGTGACCATTTTCTTAGAGGACTTGAGTACTACAACAATGTTTTCATGGTAGCACAGTGACGAGCTGTTGAATAAAGCTCTCTACCTCTTTGTATTTTCTTTACATTCTTAATAACCTCCTCTGCTTGTCCTCTTGTGTCCAATTACAAAGAAACCTTCCAAAAGGGAAGGAGGATCATGTGATGTTTGAAAACCGGGAACAAGATTCTCCAAACCCTTATTTCCAGCTTCTTTGTTCTGTACAAATAGCCAGAATTCTGCCCTGCTGGCATAGCTGGGGATTTGTTTGCAGAAGGGAACGTCTATGTGGTTAAAGCCATCCTTCATCCTTACAGCACAGGGACATATTGTGGGAAGCAGGGAGTAAAACCAGTGTATGTTGTGCTCCATTGAGCTTAGGCAGCTTGGCTGTCAGCAGCTTTCATGTTTGGGGAAGGGCATGATAGTTAATAGAAAAACACCTATATGGAATGAAAACCTGAAAGAAAGCCCCATATGCCAGCTACAGTAAACATAGCTCAGATACTATTGAAGATCGGGGCCCGGTAGTATGCATATATTTCAAGTCAAGGAGGAACAAGTGATTGATTAATACTGAACCCCTTTACATCACATGAAATCAGAAGCAAAAGCCAATACGCCCAATACTCTTCTCACTATCTTTGCACTATAGGACTGTAAGTGAAGGGAAATCAGGTTGAATGAAATTACCTGAGTGTAACACTAGCGTGAGAGCAGAACAAGAATCTGAGCCTCTCAAAGAGGTCTGGGAAACAGCACAGTATTAACCATAGGAGATGACAGAAACAGAAAGTCCTGAATTGAGAAGGATTCTGGATGTTATGTTAAAAGTATGTAAAATAATATCAGAGTACACAGAAACATAGGGGTGTGAGAGGGCTCGCAACCCCTTTGTGCTCAAGGCTACTGCTAACCAAAGGAAGCCACAAAACTCAACACTACAAAACCTCTTTCACAATTACAAAGAACTATATTTGAAACACCAAGAATATGCCACAGGTAAAAGCTGACAAGATGAGGACACTGCCAATGCCCTGCAACTGCACCAAGAGGAAAGTGGTTAGTTAATTTCTCATATGGAAATGTTTAGACTTCCAAGGATACATACTGCTGTCAGAGATGGTCTGTGGCAGTGGTACTCAATCTTTTTCATCAATGGGCTGGATGGGCAGTGCCTGGTCCCCCCATGGGCCAAATGTGGCCCATGGCCCCAGTCCAATGCCCAGAGTAGGTGCAGCAGGACCCCATCCAGTGGTGCAGAGAGGACAGCCTGGCCCCAATTTAGCTGCATGAGGAGAAGGGAGCTTGGCCCAGTCCCAACGCAGCCATGTTGGGGGAAGAAGTGTGGCCTTGCCCTGATTTACCTGTGTGGGGAGAAAAAGGCCTGGCCTAGTTCCATCTGACTGTGCAGGTGGAGGAGATGTGGAAATTTGGCAGCCAGGGAAGGTGGCGGTATTAATGACCAGTGCTCCCCTGCTTCCAAATTTTCTGACCCATGGGGAGCCCCGCAAGCCATATGCCATGGCTCTGCAGACTGCATTTGGCCTATGGGCTGGAAGTTAAGCACCCCTGGTCTCTGGTAATGATAAACAGTCATTTTTCCAAATAAACTGATACTGAAATGCAGGGGTGCTCATCCTCTGGCCCACAGGCCAAATGCAGTCCCACCCATGGGGCTTCCTACAGATCGGGAATTTTAGCAGCAAGGGAGCAGTGGTAATAATTATGGCCACCCTCCTCCACTGTCAAATTCCTAAGCCCCAAGCCCCGAGCAACATGTTGGGGCCAGGTCACGCTCCTTCCTTCCGACTCCATGGCTGGATGAGGCCAGGCCATGCCTCTCCCCCTGGGATGGTTGGGGCCTGACCATGCTCCTTTCCCCACATTAGAGCTGGGTCATGCCCCCTGCCCCCCACAGGGCCAGGTTGAAGCCAGGATGCCCCCCCGAGCCCCACTACACAACCAGATGGGGCCCTGGTATGATCACTCCATGCTGGATCAAGACCACCAGCTGGATCCAGCCTGTGGATGGTCCAGGCTCTGCCCATCTGGCCTACCAGCCAAACAGGTTGAGCACCACTGCTGAAATGGTTGATGCAACCTGCTATTTATCCTTTGCAGTACTTCTAATGGCCAGCTTCTTCTTTAGAACATAGTCTGAATTATTTGGGGTAAATTAAGGTATATTGCAGGTAAGTAATGAAGTATGACACGGGACCACTTTCACTCACATTTCCACTTAACATTTAGAGAAAATCTTACTCTATAAGCCATTTATTTTTTTTAAAAAGTGTCACCTATAATGCATACACTTCACAGTTCTCCTATTAAGATATCACCCCTTTATGGTTGGATTACACATAAACCTTTGATCTGATCTGCTGTCAGTGACTCCACATTTCATCCAAGCTCTGCTGTCTTCAATAGATTGTACTGCTATTCAGTGCCTCTGAAGTCTAACACAAAGCTCTTCTTTGTCCTGTTTTTCTTTAGATTGAATGCTCCAGTATATCTGACTACTCAGAAAAAATTATCAAGGCGAACCACTTGGACAACAGTAAGACATGTCTCAGAATAATTTCTGCAGAAAAAAAAAGAGCTGAATGGCTCCTGCTCTTTGTGGTTGATTTCTGTTGTGTAGCTTATGTGTAAATGATAGTTTGGCATATCCCCTTTATGTATTTATTTAGTTGGGTGTTTTTTTCCAAAGACAGCCATTCATAGACCTGGGCTTCCTGAACATCACTGAAAATCAATCACAGTCCACCCAAAAATAATGACCAGCCCAGTAGTGCTTACAAGCAACTGAAGTAAATGAACACAACTGGAGTGGATAGTAATTCAATGCGGCTAAATAGACCAACGTTCTATTACATTTCACAGGAAATTCGGCAACTATATTTTTCCCCACCCTGAAACTATAGTAGGGGCAATTCTACAGCCAAAGGTCTGGAGGGTATGTCTTTACTGCAGAGCCAGCCCAGTATTGGCTGGCAAAGCTCTATCCCGTGCCAGACATCTGTAACTGCAACCACGGTGACAATGTACTAGCCCGTCAGCTGGGCTGTACATTTGGCAGGACTTCCCATGGCTGTCAGCCCTGCTCCAAACTGCGCTGGTGCACCTGGCAGGTTCTAGCCGGCCCTCAGCACTTTGGGAAGAGGATTGTCAGACAGTCTGTCTGTTTAAAGAGTGCGAAAACATAGAAGAAATGTAGCAGACAAACATGAGGTTTAAATATGAATCTGGTATATATGGCTTCTGGCTGAGTAGAATGGAAATAGTAGAGGGCAAGAAAACATAGCAGGGGTAGAGTTGGGAAAAGCATTTGAAGATTGGTTATCTTGAATCCTCACTGTAAAGGAGGTATGTTCCCAGCCTGGCCTGAGGCCTGGAACATGCTTAAATGTATATCCAGAACCATGAATTGAGGGCTTCAAGTGCCCTCAATCCTGGGTGAGAAGTCTTGCTGTGTGGCTGGCAGGAGTTCAGGAAAAAGTAGTTTAAAAGTCAGGCTAACTGCAGAAAAGATATGTCCAGAGGAAGTGCTGCTAGCAGTGCTGTTTCCTTCACGCCAATCAGACTTGTCTCAAGCAAAATTCCTATTGGATTAAATTGAAATTTAAAGACTGAAGTATTCATGGGTGTTTGGAGCTTCGGTTTTGGTTCAGCCCATTATGTAAGGATGGATGCTATTTTAAGAATTCTGATCTGGAGCTCATCCACTTGGATTCAGATTGCAATGCCCCTCAGGAAGTGCTTAGCTCTGACCCTGAAATACTGATTCATACCTATGTCTGGTTTTACAGGACTCCTGTAAGCTAACTATAAGCTTTGTGACTTGGAAAAATCTGTCTTTGCAGATTGCTCCACCTCTAGTCAAGGCATCTATAACTCATCATTGTGAATGATCTGGACCTGCTTTTTGCTCTCACCATCAGGGTAGATTTCCAGAGTAACACTACTGAAATGAATCAGGTCATACTAGGGGAAGATCTCATATTTCTCCTCTATTGGCCAAGGCACACCATTCTCTAAAGCAGAGCTTTCCAAACTTTTCATGTTGGTGACACACTTTTTAGACATGCATCATTTCGCGACACAGTAATTCAGTTCCGGGGGAGGGGCCAAGGGAAGCAGACGCGAGTAAGGGAGCTCTGCAGTGCCCTTCAGCAAAATTTTCTGCATTTCGCGTGACACACCTACACACTGCCGCCGACACACTAATGTGTCGCGGCACACAGTTTGGAAAGCTCTGCTCTAAAGGATCCAAGGGCCAGTCTACATTTGGCTACAAAGTTGCAAACTTAAGGGTCACTCCACTGAATTTAATGAAATTATCCCAGATTTACACTTAAGTTAAGGAGAGTTGCCTTGAATCCAAAGATCCTGTAACTCATGCAACTTTTTTTTAAAGTGAATTTAGAGCCAGCAAAAGGTGCTGAATTGCCAGCCACAGTACACCCAAAGAACAGAAACAAAACAGCCAGTGGCAATGCATGCTTCCCCCACACAGTGACTTGCTAATGTGTATCACATAGGTGAAGTGGTATGAAAGACTGCCACCATGTAACTGTCTGCACTGTAACTGCCCTGTGTATAAATAGAGGGCTTCAGTCTCCAGGCCTGTAATTCTGGCAGCTGTCAACAGTGCTAAAATTCAGCCCAAAAGAATCATCAGGACTGTTTTGACTTGCTCTAAGAGCAAGATAGCTGTGTGCTGGCTAAAGGAAGGATCATAACAAGCATATTCTGGAAGGGTGCAATTCACTTCTCTGCAGAAGGTCAGTTCAGACCCTTAGTTCCATTTAAATCCTAAAATAGAAGATAAGTGGCACATCAAGGCTTCAACTGGGTGGAATTTTACCAAAAATGATATCGCCTCAGAGAGCTCAGGAAAAAAAAAATATTTCAGAGCTTAATTGTCCACTGAAGAATTTAAAAAATTCCTCTACCCCAGAGCTGTAATCCAGTTCTGGTCAAACTAAAAAACTAAGTCTAATTAAGCCACGATAATTGTTGTGAATAGAAGCAGTACCTTATGCTGCTAAGATTTTCAGGGTCGTATTATCCATTATTCACAAGTATTTATACAGACACCAGGTATCCATGAAAATATCCATGAGCCTTAAACATAGCACATGGTGTGGCACCAGTAATGATTTGTCCCAGAATTACCCTGTGCATTGTTCCCTATTCACAATTTTATTCTCCTGTTTTAAATATTTCAGTTAGCCAAACAAGGAAGCATGCCCTACAACATGTGGCTTTAGTAAATCACCCACAAAAACCAAAGGGGCACATGCAGGAAAGTGAACAATTGGCCAGCAGCCCACAGTTTGAAGATGATTTACCCAAACAATATGGACACAGTCTTACAAATAAAGGATACAGCTGAAGAAAGTCAAGACTGATTTATGATTGGTTTACTAATCCCAAAAGGGGGTAAATATTATTTGGAACAAATAACCAAACTGGTTTTAGAAGAACCTCTGTAACTAAAATATCTGTTCTTGTTTATAACAGTTGCATTGTGGTGTTATTCCATGGTCTTTAACTGATTAACTCTTGATTGACCCTTGTGAGTGTGGAAGGAAGGTCAGACTGTGCATTGTATTCCTCCACAGAACTATCACAAAGCATTGAAATCACTTTATGAGTACCTTGTATTATAGTTTGTACATATCAAGACTGGGCTATGCTATAAATCTGGCACTTTCGAATGGAATAGGTTACTTAATCCACTTGGTGCTAAAAAAGACAATTATCTTCTGTGATTCATAGAATCATAGAAAATTAGGGTTGGAAGGGACCTCAGGAGCTTACCTAGTCCAACCCCCTGCTCAAGGCAGGACCATCCCCAACTAGATGATCCCATCCAAAGTTTTGTGTAGCCAGGTCTTAAAAACCTCCAAGGATGGAGATTGCACCACCTCTCTGGGTAACCTGTTCCAGTGTTTTACTACCCTCCTAGCGAGAAAATTCTTCCTAATATTTAACCTAAATTTCCCTTGCTGCAACTTGAAACCGTTGCTTCTTGTTCTGTCATTTGCCACCACTGAGTACAGTCCAGCTCCATCCTCTTTTGAACCCCCATTCAGGTAGTTGAAGGCTGCTATTAAATCCCCTCTCAGTCTCCTCCTCTCTAAACTAAATAAGCCCAGTTTCCTCAGTCTTTCCTCATAAGTCATGTCTCACAACCCCCTCACTATTTTATTGTCCTCTGCTGGACTCTCTCCAATTTGTCTATATCCTTTCTGTAGTGGAGGGCCCAAAACTGAATACAGTACTCCAGGCGTGGCCTCATCAGTGCTGAACAGAGGGGAATAATCACTTCCCCTGACCTACTGGAAACACACCTACCAATGCAGCTCAGTATGCCATTAGCCTTCTTTGCAACAAGAGCACACTGTTGGTTCCTATTCAGGTTCTTGTCCACTGTAACCCCCAAGTCCTTTTCTGCAGAGCTGCTGCCCAGCCAGTCAGCCCCCAGCCTGTACTGGTGCATGGGATTGTTCTGTCCTAAGTACAGGACTTTGCCCTTGTCCTTGTTGAACCTCATGACATTTCTTTTGGCCCAATCCTCCAATTTGTCTAGGTCACTTTGAATCCTAGCCCTACCCTCCAGCATATCTACTACTATCCCCAGCTTGGGGCCATCTGCAAATTTGCTGAGGCTGCACTCTGTGCCATCCTCCAGATCATTGATGAAGATATTTAACAAAACTGGCCCCAGGACTGACCCCAGGGGCACCCCACTTGATACCGGCTGCCAACTAGACATCAAGCCACTGACTACTACCCTCTGAACCTAATGCTCCAGCAAGTTTTCTGTCAACCCTGCAGTCCATTCATTTAGCTTGCCTGTGAGAATGTTGTGGGAGACCGTATGAAAAGCCTTGCTAAAATCAAGGTATACCACATCCACTGGTCTCCCCACATCTACATAGCCAGTCATCTCATCATAGAAGGCAATCAGGTTGTTCAGGCATGACTTGCCCTTGGTGAATCCATTATGACTGTTCCTAATCACCTTCTTCTCCTTCAAGTACTTAGAAATGGATTCCTTGAGGACCTGCTCCATGGTTTTTCCAGGGACTGAGGTGAGGATGACTGGTCTGTAGTTCCCTGGATCCTCCTTTTTCCTTTTCTTAAATCTGGGCACTATGTTTGCCTTTTTCCAAGCATCTAGGACCTCTTCTGATTGCCATGAGTTTTCGAAGATGATGGCCAATGGCTCTGCAATCTCATCAGCCAACTCCCTCAACACCCTTGGGTGCACTGGTGATGCATAGGGGGTGTATGCGGGTGTACGTGCACCCCCTGAGATTGGCGGTGCACCCCCTGAAAGAAATGCCGCCGATGCTGCCAGTGGTGCCTATGTGCAGTTGCTGTATCCCCCCCAGCCTCCAGGGACACGCGTCGTTCATGCTTGGGTGCATCCCATTTGGCTCCATATAGTAGTAGTATATGTCCACTTTTCTAAATAGTCCCTAACCTGTTCTTTTGACACTGTTGGCTGCTCACCTCCTTCCCAAACTGTGCTGCCTGGTCCAG